AAACAACGTATGCCAGTTTTGTAATTTTGAAAAGTCTATTATTCTTTGATGAGCAAGGTAAATTGAATTGACTGAATTCCAAATGTAATTTGAACCTTTGAGCATACTACCTATCATAAAATTCCATAACAGTACAAAAACAATGCTCTCTGTTGTTTCTTCCAGTAGCAAATTTTGAGACAGTGCTTCGAAAAATACTAAAGTTGAAACTGAATTTCCCCAAAGTTCTTCCCACGAAGACAATTCGATGGACAATTGAATTTTTTGAAATATTTATAGTTCGAAGGCATTGTCATATACAAATTAAACGGCGACAAACAAAGCCACGTTTTTTCCAATCCCCTTATCCGCTTTCCTAAATCTAGTCAATGTTTATCCGTTTTTCTTATTTACTGTGTTCAATTCACTTTAGAAATTTAAAAAAATTGTACAGAGAGTCATTATTACCTTATAAAATATACCATTTTAAAATAAAATTTTTCTGCTACCAACAAAAAAAGCCGTTTTCCTATTTTCATTTCGATCTCACTCTTTTCCCCTTTTCATCTCTCCTTCTTGGAAACACCAACTGTACCTATGAATGTGACTTTTTTGTTAGTATATTGAGTCCTACTGTTTTGCATACTTACCATTTTTATAAGATTATGTTCAATACATTAGCTGACACCTAATCTTTTAAGTTCTGTAGTTTGCATAATTCGTTACAGACTTTTTAACCGAATAATGCGACCTTGAGCAGTTTAGTGCAAAAAAAATTCATGATGAATGGGGAAAGTTCAAAACAAAAACAGTGGTTTGTACAATTGTACAGAAACCATTGTTTTTCATCTCTTTGGGCTCTTCTTCTGGACTTCTCTTACTTACGACATAATTGTACAATCCGAACACTTTTGCTCACCAAGAGGTCCGAGCGCTGCCAGCAGTTTTGCGAAATCATCCGAGCTGACCTTGGAACCTTCATGACCTGCCTCTGAAAAAAGAAGTGTACGAGAAGCCTTACGATGATTAACAAAGAGTTTAGCACGCGAAAGGAACAAAATATGGGCTAATATCTTAGAGGCTCATTAATCTTTCTCTACTCTACATCTTTTAGACGATATTTGGGTATTACCATGTCTAATCACAAAGTGCTTAAAGAAAGTAATCTATTATTTTTTTATACTATAAAGACAGCTTTTAGCAGAGACGAAAATATGAACTGAAACACACGTGCACCAGCATCTGCCTGAACTCCTGCTTGTCCACCTTGTTGATCACTGAGTTTCATGCCAACTTCCTTAGCGATGTTTAGAAAACCACTGAGGAAATCGTGTTCTGAATAGGTTCAAGGACGATTACAAAACTTTTGATTTTTCTTGTACCTTCATCAAAATATCCACAAATTTTACCTGTAAATGTTAAGAGCATTCCTCAAAGAAAAGATAATTTTCCATAATTAGACAGAAAATCAAGAAGAATTTGTCAAACTGGGTTATATTGAGCGAGTTTTATGTTGTTTGGTTGTTATTTATGATTTCAACCTTAAAAAACATTTTGGAAACTTACCCGCAGCTGTACCTTGCTGTCCAGCTGGTCCGGGACCGGCACTGGCTGCTGCAATATTTACCAAATTTCAGATACCCGTGTTTATCTAACCATGTATCATATTATAACTGGACAGCTTCTAAATTATCAACGATTTCATTAAAGGCTAGTTTGAGAACACTTCTTATGAAAAATAGTTCCTAGCCTGTATAGTTTTGCCTGATTCATACAATTCTCACCCAAAATAAGTCTCTAATATAAGAAAATCTTGGAGTGAAAAGGCGCCTACCAATCGTGGCTCATGAGAGCCAATGTGATCTATGAAAAATACAAAAAAGGCTCACCTCCTCCTTCCTTGTTGAATACTTTGCCAACTGAAAATAAGAGCC